CTGGCGGTGAAGGTAAGCTAAGGGCGGCGACCTACTAGCGGAGTATCCACAGCCTCTACAATTCACTACTCTCCCTTGTTATTGTGTTTCGCATTGAATGTCACCAGCAATTGGCAGCAGTACCACATTTTATCCGGCTACCGACTGCGCCCGCACTCAATCTTGTTATTTAGTATCACTTAATTGATAGACCTGCGTTACGCATTGACTAATTGATAACACTTTTTCAATGTCAAGCTGTCGCGCTGCTGCATATGTGCACCGCTTTAAAAGGCTAGCCGCAGCTCCTCGGGCAGCCAGTCAATTGTTGACTTTGCATACCCGTTGTCTTAGTCCAGCGTCCTTGCATCGCTGCTGTTGTCATCAAATGTCCAACGTGTGCTTTGGTACTTAGTGGCCGGCAATGTTTTCGCTATTTTTATAAAAATCGTTGCATATTTTCTTCTAGCTCGCCACCCTCCGCGTTGTTGAGTCGCTCCCGCCAGTGCTGCGTATMCAGTGCTTCATGCTTTCTACGCATTAAATGCCTGACAAGCTCGCATTTTTCACTCTGCTTTATTTAGCCACTCGAAATAAATCATATCGCTTACTGCAGTCGCTTTGCCGTTGCGCATGCGCACAACACTTTCGCAGAAGAATTGCACACGAACCGTTTTGGCATTTGTTGGCCGCCAGGCAATCGCTTATTTATCTACACGCTATTTGTTACGGCGTGTCTTTTTCGAGGGATTATGCGTGCCATATGCGGCAGTGGCAGTTGAATGCGTGACTGATATTTTYGCAGAATCTCTTTTTTATTTTTAATTTATTTATCTCTATTTTTCGTTTATTTTTATTCGCTTCTTGTGCCAACTGCAGCATTGTGTCAATCGATTTTGATTTCTTTGCCGTTATCTAAGCACTTAAACGTTTCAGTTGTGTATGCCAGTGAATGGGCACATAAAAGAGAAAGGATTTTTGTTCGCTTTTAGCTGCAAGCGATACTTTGTTGTTGTATCTTTACTGCTATATTGATATATTTTATGCTCGCACTTCGATTTGTTAGCAATTAATTATGCCGACTTGAAAGTTGTTTTGCAATGCAAATATTTTTGTTTGTAGTACTGCTGTGGCGATTAACGGCGTTTTMAGACATATTTAGAGCAATAAAATGTCTTTGATTGGAGACATAATTTATTCCTGTATAGTGTTAGCAGATATTTGATAAAACGAAATAAAATTGTCTTAAAAATTAATTTGCAGATTTTTGCAAAAAAAATCGAAATAAAAATTACTTTAAATAAAAAAAAAAATAGAAAAACATAGCTCCATTTCTTAGCAAAAAGCTTATAAAAATATTTTTATTTGTATCGATTAGTTTGTATGGTAGCTATGGGCTATGGTGGTTTGATCTAAACATTTTCTCTGTAGATTGTAGAGTTTTCATGAAAAATAAGCCTTGCTCAATTTTGTCAAGTTATATTGACAAATGAAAAAGTTTTCTATACAAGAACTCCATTTTAATCGGTCAGTTTGTATGGCAGCTATATGCTGTAGAGATGTGATAACAGTAGATCCGACAAGGGAGCAGCTTCTTGGAAAAAAATAACATGTGTAAGATTTTAAGTGGATATCTCAACAACTGAAGGACTAGTGAGCTTATACAAAGAGATAGGGACTTTGTAGAGTCCTCTAGGTATAATTTACTTCCAAATTATATACCTATATCAACTATTGTGATGTCAATATTTTTTGTTGTGAAGGCCACGTCCGAGAAAAAAAATTATTAAGGTCGACAACACTTCTGGTTTTAAAGTCTTCCGTTTGTTTTCATAAAGACAAACCGAAAATAGGTGCAGAACTTGGGCTCTTTTAATTTTCCAATCTTCGAATTGAGTTATATATTGAAATTTACTTTTTCATTTCTTTTATATCACTTTCTTAAATTCCACAAACTGAGTCATACAAGTTGCAAAAAACATGGTGTCATATGAGTGATACGAGCCAGCGATATTGAAAGCAGTAAATTTCAATCTGATTAAATAACTAATGGCTTAACCTGACAAAATCAGTGAATTTTCGCTTGAAAGCTTTAGGTGTGACCACGCTTTCTTGTAAATACAAAAGAATGTTAATAAAAAAAGAAATATTAAAAATATATAAATTTTTTTAAATAAAAATACAATACAGAAAAAAAATACAAAAAACAAAAATACGAAGAGAAGAGAAAGCCGATCCAAATTTGATCTAAAGATAATTTTAAGCTTACACTGGCACGAAGTTATTGGTTGAGCTATTTTAAGAAGCATTAAATTATGAACAAAATTCAAATGAGACCTTAAAAAAAGAGGCAAAAAATAAAATTAATTACTTTATTTGTGTAAAATTATTTTAAAAGATATATTCGCAAAAAGAGCAGTAAAATAATGGTAAAATTTCATAGTTTTAAACTTATTAGTATGAAAGCTTTTAAAAAAGTACTTTTGAAGCTTTAAAAGAGCTGACCAAATCTTAAACTTAATGGGATGAAAGCTTTCAAAAATATACACTAAAGCTTTAAAAGAACTACGCAATTTTAAGCTTATTAAAATGAAAGCTTTCCAAAAGTTACTCCAAATATATATAATAATAATGTGAAGGCTTTCAAGAAGCTGCTCTACAGCTTTAAAGAGGCTATGCAATTTTAAACTTATTAAAATGAAAGCTTTCAAAAAGCTACACTAAAGCTTCGCAGTCATCCTCTTATCAACTGCATTTTCTCTTCAAAGGAAAAATTACATAACTTTAGCTAACTGTTTTGATACAACATTTTGGACACAATTTTCCAATATGCTATATTTCGTGACGACTCACTTTTTTGAAAAAAAAAAATACTTCTCTAATATCAATAAAATTAATCTTATACAAGAAACAATGCCGAGCAAACGTACGCCATTAAAAATCACGACCAGACTGTTTTCGAACATTTAATTTACACAATAAAACAATGACGAGCAACAGCAATGCACTAAAAATCACGAGGAAATTCTCGAATATTAAAAAACGTTGCTATATTCTACATTCCAAAAATATTTGTAGAAAGATATTTCTATAAAATACAAATGCCACTAACTACACGCAAAAAGATCAGAAATCACAATACAAAAACAAAAAATTATAATTGTGTGAGAAAAACCTCCAACGCTTCCTCCCGCCATTTAAACAACAAAATGCTGCAATAAATAAAACTCATCATTAGATACATGATTTGTGATAAGCGGGCACTCACTTCCTCATTCTAACGTGCATTGACAAATAGGCGAAATGACGGCTAACGAATTAAAAGTGAAGAACAATGAAAAAAAGCAAAAAAAAAAAAAAAAAAATAATATTGGAAAGATAGCAATCCACACGTAAAAAAAAAGTCAACATAGCATCCCGAAAAAACCAGTAGAAGAAAGTCTTCAAGCATTTCAAATAGCGGTGCAAAGCTGTCAAGCAGCGCATGGAACACATACACACACAAATATTTTTGCCTGTATACCCCTAACTGTCAATCAAGAGCCAGCAACACCGCTAGACTCATCAACAGCAATTTCCTGCCGCGCTCAATTGGCCTGTCAGTGCTTTGCGGTTTACAACAAAACACATACATATATATTTGTATGTGAAATATTTCCCACACAGTAATACATATACTCTTATAGGGCGCGAGTGTTGACTTAGCCGCCTTGTTGACATTAGCCTCCTGTGACAAAGGTGCGTTAATGATGAGCAACTGTCCGTTGGGCTCATTGAGTTCGCTTGGAATGCTTAACTTTACATATGTATATGTTTCATGTATCTGCGTACATACATATATATTTATGTATAAGTATATATTTGTATAAATGAAGTAAGTTTGCCGTGGTGTCATTTACCTGGTGCGTACGGACATTTAGCGTACATGTCAATGTACACTTGTAGCTTTGTTATTGTTTTTGTATTTTTTTAATTTCAGTGTTGTTGTTGCAACTTTTTTTCATTTTGCTTACTCTCACTTAAGTTCTATCGCACGTTTTTATCAGCAGTAAGGCTCAAGCTGTGATTTTTCGCGCTTTCAATGAACTTATTTTTTTATTATTTTTTTTTTTTATTTATATAAGTACATAGTGTATATTGTTACCGAAATGCAAAATAATGTAACATCACTTTTCACATGTTTACAAGTGAAGGGAAAACGATATAATATAAACCATAAATATTGACAAAATTTCAGCCTTCGTTATAAAATGGTTATATATTAATGATACGTTCTTTTGCATTCTAGGTAAAGATATACATATATATTTCTGTATGCACAAATTCAGAATGGCAATTGCTTTAACTTTATACTTTCAAATTCCATTTTTTATTGCCAACGCGCTTGTACGCTCGACTTGTGTGCATATCTCAGGCACTTAAAAATTTTCAGCGTGTTCTTCTGTACATACATACATAAATATGTACTTATGTATTTACGCGCATGCGGAAGCGTGTTTGAAATTTTAATTCCCTACAATTTCAATGTGTAATTACAATATTCTACAGTTTGTCTGCTTCAGTGCAGTGATTGAACGTATGTTTGCCTTTTT